ACTTTATCTTAGTGTGCAGTAAGTAGGTTTTTTTAAAAAGAGAAATGCTCTAGAAATCATAAAAATCTCAAAAGAACACTCGACCATGAGGAAGATTCCTGATCACAGCGAGAGGAATTAAGAAATTAATTCCAACAATCTTGAAATAATAAGATGTAATGTATCTTATATGATTAGTGATATAAAAGAAGGAATTAAAATTAAGGTAAATATATAATATTTTGAGAAAAAGGACAGAGGAATAAAAGAACCAAATGGAACTTCAGTAAATAAAACAACTGGTCATGTTATAATTAAAATCTCCATGGACTTTTTGAACACATTTGACACAGCTTGAAAACAAGAAACTATGATGAGAGAATTACCCAGAATGCAACCTTGAATTATAAAGAGATGGAAAATAGGAAAGAGACTCCAAGAGACCTAAGATCTATATTGGAGTCCTGGTGTGGCGCTGTGGGCTAATGCATCAGACTGCAAAGTTGTTTGAACTGCAAGATTGGTGGTTCAAGCTCACCAGCTGCTCCTTGGAAACCCTATACAGGGTTGCTATGGGTTGGAAGATCTATACTGAGATTGTCTAACCTTATTCTGATAGCAATTCTAGGAGAAGGATAGATACAATAGAAGAAAGTCTGGGAATTTTTCAAAATTGAAGAAAAATAGAAATCCTCAGTTTCAATAAATACAGAGAACCTTGAGCAGGATAAATAAAAATAAAAACTTTCACTAAGTATATTAAATCATAAAAATGCCAAAGTCAATTGGAGGAAAAGACTAATAGAACAATGATGTTGATTGAGAACAGTGTACTCAGCACTGAAAACTAAAAGACATCTTCATAGATTTTGGGGGAAATAAAGCTGCTGTGTGTGGGTTAGGTGTTGGACTGCTGAATGTGCAAGGTCGGTAGTTCAAACCCACCAGCACTCCTCAGAAGAAAACTGAAACTGTTGCCTCCTGTTGAGAAACCTCAGGGAGTAGTTGTGCTCTCACCTTAAAGGATGGAAATGAATCCGAATCAACTGATGGCAGTGGTGGAAATGGAGAATGACTGTTAACCTAGGCATTGATAGCTAAACTAGCATTTAGCAGTGAGAGTTTCCTCAGTGTACTGGCTTGATAGGGACTAGAAATGCAGACATTGGCTGTCAAAAGTGGGGAAGGAGGCTACAAAGACATGAAGTAGCTGGCTCACAAGCTCTCATGAGTGTGCTAAGTTGCAAAATGGAGGGAGGGGAGAGAAAATAAAGAACGACATAGAGAGCAGAATGGTTAAGAAAACAGGATCCTTCCATATGCTGCCCACAAGAGACATCAAAAAGATGGAGACAGCCTAAATGCTCATCAACAGAAGAATGGCTAAACAAACTTTGGTACATACACACAATGTAATACTGCAAAACGCTGAATAATGATGAATCTGTGAAATACCTCACAACCTGGTTGAACCTTGAGGACATTATGCCGAGTGAAATTAGTCAATCACAAAAGGACAAATACTGTATGAAACCAATGTTGTAAAAAGTTAAGAAAAAAAGGTTTTCTTGATAAAGAAACAATCTGTGATGGTTACAGGAGAGGGAGAGATTATTAATGGGTGTTGTTAAGTACCATTGAGTTGGTTTCAACTAAAGTTTCCTAGGAGCAGCTGGTGGGCATGAAGCGCTAATCTTATGGTTCAAGCCTACCTTGCAGTCCAGCATATTAACCTGCAATGCCACACCAGGACACATGTTAGCATGGGTGGAAAGGGCAGACAATATACAAGACAGGTTAGCAGAAGAAAGATGCAGATAACAGGAGACATGGAGGAAAGCAATAGTTAAAGTGAACAGAGGTAAATACTGCTAACTGTTGGCACATGGAGGCAATTACAACCATGTAATGATATTTGTTTAATGTAAAACTGATGATCTTGCTCTGTAAACCTTTACTAAATTCACAATAAAAAGTTGGAAAAAAGTAAAGTGAAAGAAAAAAAATGAAGCAAATATTTATATTGATAGATTAAAACTTGGATCATGTGAAGCCATACACAAAACGCAATTCACAGAAGAGAGACTTAGATAGCCAAGAAGCATAAAAAGAGAAACTCAACCTTACCTATATTTACTTATGAGATCATAATGGTAGAAAGATTTTCACACCATTATATTGGCAGAAATCAAAGTTTATTACCAAATGTCAGAGAAGATAACTTTTACCATGTTGGTGGGAACATGACTGATTTGGAGACCAAATCAATATAACCATGCATTAAGAATCAAAAGCACATTCTGTGACCAGTAATTTAGATTCTAGGCAAATATCATAAAGAAATGTACACATGTATGCAAGAAGACCTATCCAAGGAGGTTGATGGCAGCAGTATCTATAGTAGAAACCACTGGGATGAGTCATTGTCCACAGTTGTCAAATGGAGGGTTAAGTTATATTTCATCCGGTGAACAGTATACAGAACTAAAATGACATTGTTGCTTAATGCCTTTGAGTTGTTGCCAACTCATAGTGACCCTGTATAGGGTTTCCAAGGAGCACCTGGTGGATTTGTACTGCTGACCTGGCAGTTCAAACTGACCTTGCAGTCCAGTGCTTATTGTACAGTGCCAAAACAAGACTGAAAATTACGCATTAGGTGCCATCAAACTGATAATTGCATTAGATTTAGATTTGTCAACATGGATAAATCACGAAGCACAGTGCTAAGGGGGGGGAAGCAGTTATAAAATGATACATGTGGGTGTTGTTAGGTGTTGTCAGATCTCTTCCAACTTTAAGGACAACACTTAAACTCTGCTTGGTCCTACGTCATCCTCACAACTATTGCTGTGTGCACATCTTCGCACACATGATCAATACATGATTCCAATTTTTCTAGGAATTGAAAACATTGGCTATATTATATGAAACTTAATATATGTTGTTAAAGTGCCCTCGAGTTGGTTCTGACTCATATCAGCCCTGTCTAGGGTTTCCAAGAAGCGGTTGGTGAGCTTGAACCACTGACTTTGCAGTTCAAATTAACCCTGCAGTCCAGCGCATTGACCCGCAGCACAACATTGTATAACAAAAAATCCTGAGTATGTTGCCTTCCAAATAATGATTAGGTCTAGTGACAAAGAGATGAAAAGTGTTGTGGATTCGAGTTTTCTGTATCTTGTTTTCTTGATATAGAAGATATTTCTCTTAACTCTGTGTTATAATAAGCCTCCATTATGTTTTGCTCTTTTATAATATTTGAAATATTCCATAGTTTAAAATGTTACAAATGTGTTTTTTGGAATCACAAATATAGTAAAGGGTGATGAGCAAAATATAACTGGTTATTAAAAATTCTTCCTAGGAACCAGTCAAGTCATTGAGTCTTAAATGTTCTGACTTCTTTGGCATGGGCAACAGAATGTTAGACTTTGAAATTTGAAATGTTTGTGTGAGAGATTCTGTTGGGTTTCTACCAAAGGAGAAACATGACTTTTGGGGTTGGTAAATAAGTGGAGTTTGAGTGGTTTCAGGTATTTAAGGCTATTCCCTCAGAACCTTAAGGCAGTCACTGCAAATATTAACTAGTGTCTTCCTAGGTCAGACAGACCAAGGACTCCTGATTCTCTGAGTAAATGATTAATACTAAATAAAGCCTTCCCTAGAGTCTAGGATCTGGGCCCTCAGTGCAGGCTTTCTTGTTCATGAGTGGATTTATGGGGGACTCTGAGAGGCTCACTTTCTGAAAAATCACTTGGGAAGGAGGTGGTTACCCACCTCAGTCAACTGTGTCTCTTAGGCTAAAATTACCCGCTGGCCAATGGTGTTAGTAGTGTGGTACCAGATTTCCTTTCCTCTCACATCCTTCCTGCATCTTTCCTTAGAGATGCAACCCTCTATGTAGATTTGAGCCGTAGTTCACATAAATAAATAGTTGGACTAGAGAAAATCTGTAGTATCTGATCATTTCAATCATATGCAACCTTTTTGAAGAAATGACTGGCTCAAAGTGCCAATTGAGTACTTCAAAACTAGGAAAAGTAGCCAACTGGAGTTTCTTACCAATTAGAATTGGTGAAGCTCCTCACAGGGTTTTATTTGTTTTTGTTTTTTAAATGTAAATAAGCTTTGAATTATAGAATAGTTTTAGATTTACTAGAAAGTTTCTGACATGGTATAGAAAGTTCGGCATGTCCCTCACATAGTTTCCACTACTGCTTACATCTTACTGTACTATCTAGGCATTACCTGGAAGACCAATTCTTACCATTTGGGGAGGTGACACATTTTATTTATAGACTTGGTTCCTGTAATGATTTACCTACTTGAAAGTATATGGTTTTTCATTTACACATTTATCTAAAAATGGAAATTCATACTTGAGCAAAATAATTAGAAATCTGTTTAAATCACTGACATGGTACCTGATACATGTCAATGTTCAGAAGATGCTTGTTGATGTAATGAATCGATGAATGCAGGTGCCCTGTCTCTGTGAACATTATAGGGGACTTCAAGTTCCTATAGTTTTCACAAAAGATCAGGTTACTCATATATAACCCATTAATGCCTTACACATATTTGAATCCTTCCTGAGAATTGGTTTAAGGCACAATTTCATCTTAATATCAGGAAGACTTGGTGTTTCCTTGATTGACCATTATTTCAGATGGGTAACATCGAATGCCTATTATTTACTCTGCCCTCTCAATCATGATGAATACTAAGAATAAATGGAGATGCTTTCTCTTTTTCATGTTTCTATGTTTCCTTTCTTTAAAAACAATATGCCTCAGTGTATAATTAAGCAATGTTAGATCCTGTACTTTATTGTTTAGATAAAAAGAAAACATTCTTTGGGGGTGCCAATAGGCATTAAATATTGTATGAAAAAGCATCTTTGGTACTAGCCAAATATACTTTTTAAAAGCCTTTTCATCAAGAAAAATAAGATTTATTTATTTGGAAGGTAAGTTTCAGCAATTAATCTTCTTTTTTTTTTTTTTTTATGTTTTCAGAATTCAGCTGTGGAAATGGGTTTGTCAAAACAACTTTCTCTCCATGTTCAAGAAAGCATGAAAAATACTGAAGATGTGCAGAAAGTCAATGAGCTGCAAAATCAACCTTTAGAATTAGATATTATGTTAAGAAATGAACAATTAAAACAGATAGAGGTATGGAAACAAGAAAAACACTGACAACATGATTGCATTACTTATCCAGTGCAATACAATATAGTTTAATTACTAAAAACTTGCTTGCACAGAGTGAAAAGTCTTACTTAACCTTTGCCTGATGATCAATTTGGTAACTATATAATTATGTACTAATCAGTAAGTTGAATAAATCTTTCCATTTAAGAAGTAGAAGAGTTTAATGAACATTAGTCTTCTTTCTCTTCCACAGAGTTTCTAAAAACTTACTCAGTGACGAAATGGAAAGATTCTGACTTGCCATCACTGCTTTTCTTAGACATTTTGATTTTGATAAATCCTTATTTCTCCCCTAATTATCAACATTATGAAGTCTTCCTTCTTTGTTTACAGCTGTATTTACATGTTTATATATTTTATTTATAGCTCTGTAGTCTAAAAATCTAATATTTTACCTTGTGTTTAAAAATGAGCATAAAATGACCCTTACAATTTTAACTAAGTTTATGACAGTAAACATATATCTAACATGTGAAAGAGGAGTAATTTATGGTAATAATAAAAATAAAATAAATTTTCTTTGGTGTTGTTGAGTCAATTCTGACTCATTGACCCATTGGGTTTCCAAGGAGTGGCTGGTAGGTTTGAACCACCAACCTTGTGGTTAGCAGTCCAGTGCTTGTTCTACAGTGCCACATCAGGACTCCTAAAATTTTCTTTAGATATTGCAAAATATTTTAATTACAGTGATGGTGGTGTGCCTTCAAGTTGGTTCCAACTCACAATAACCTTATGTAGGTTTTCCAAGGCTGTAAATCTTTGTGAGATTGAATGAGTTTAAACCTACATTTTAACATGATTCTAATGGACAAACCACTTAATGTCAGGATCTTAGTTTCTCTGTATGCAAATTAGGAAGTTGTTAAAATAGCTTGGGATAGAATGTGTTATCAGAAGAAAGGAAGAACTGAAGGAAAATGAATATATTTATGAATGGATGAGTGAATTCATATTTACTATCTTGACTTCTTTTTAGGAATTATATACTGAGTTGGAAGCAAAGAAAGCAGCCATCAAGCCACTGGAACAAATGGAATATTTCAATCAAACAGAAGCAACTGCCTTGGTTCCCCACCATCCAGGACATTCAGTGCCTGAGTTGGACCGTCTGCTTGAGGCACTCATTATCTTAAAGAAAAATAAAGAAAGCCAATATTGTCTCCTTAAAGATTTTCAGGATCACCTTGTTGCAAATGAATCTTCATTGAAAGCCTTGTTGACAGAAAAAGAAAGTCTAAAACTGTAAGTCTGAGAATATAGGATTTGGATTCTTTTTATTCAAGCACAGCCTGCAAGCACTACCTTGATCAGACCCAGAGTTTAAACTGGCATGTTAAGATGTTAGGATTTATATTTTATATTACATATGGAAACCATTTAAGGAAACTGTTGGTTTCATGCCTCCCCAAATTATATTACTAAGTATATTTAGCAAGTGGGCTTTAAAACATTTGTGGGGAAATATTGTTAAAAGATAATGGAATGTTTCCATGAACTTTTTGAAGCCACGTAATATAAATTAATTTATTAAACTATTAATTCAAACTGTAAGTTCCTGTGAAATGGGTGTAAGTCAAATGGAGTTCAGTGTTCTTTTTGTCAAAAATTTATTATATACAGAAAGGGATGGAAACAATATGCAGTTGTTTAGTATTCACATAATTGTTTTAAATAGTATGATACATATATTAAATATAGGTGGGTAATGATTTCTTTAAAAATATATGTACTCCTTTTAGCTTTGAAAATGATTGATGATTATAAATATAATGTTAGTGTTTTAAAATGTCCCATTATTTAAAGTGTTCATTTTATATTTATGCCTAAATAGGACTTACTTTCAGTGACATCCCTTGAGAAAGCAATTTTATATTCAAAAGAGTAGCCTAATGAATATAAATGTTTTAGCCAATATCTATATCAGTTTTGGAAAGACTTGATAGTGAAGACACTGGATGTTATAGTAATTTTTCTTAGTCCTACACTAACTATGTATAAGTACTTAATAGTTTATAGGGTATGTTTCATACATTGTTCCCTTCAATCTTGATTTGTTTCTTGTGATTATGTATTTTTTTTTAATTTTTTATTGTGAATTAAGTGATGGTTTACAGAGCAGATCATTCGTTTTACATTCGGTATATCATGTACTTTGTTTCATCTCAATGGTTGCAATCCCTTCCATTTAACAGCAGTTCTCCCACTTCCTCCCTGTGGTTCCTATTTCCATTCCGTCCTCCTTCCCATCCCTTCTCAACTTTGTCCTTAGGTAGATCTTGATCTTGAATGATTGACCATTTTAAGGTATGCATACCTTAATAGTGTTGTTGTCTCCCTTATATACCTATGTACTGTTTGACTGAAAATTGGGCTTCAGGGGCCATAGTCTGAGGTTCCTCCTGTCTCTTTATGACCAGTAAGCCCAGTCTTTTTTATAATTTTGAGTTTTATTCCACATTTTATGGTTGCGTATTTTTATGATACTCATTTTGCAAATGTGAATTTCCTACATTGGCACATACTAATTGAAAACCATGCAAAACAAGATTCTGTTTTTCATTTTAAGGACAGAATAGTCTTCTAGACAGTCTGATCTTTTCTATGAGTTCAAAGCAGGGTCTTAGAATGAATGATATCTAGTCACAGGTTAATGTGTATGTCATAAGTATTAACAAACACCTTTATACTCTCTTTCTAGGGGAACACTAGACATTGCAACCTATCTGGATAAAATAAAAATAATCCTGGCATCAATAGAAAAAGGAAAAGATTCTTTAAGCAAGGTGAAAATCAAATGGGGGAACATATCACACCATCTGACTGACATGGATAAGAAGTTACTAGAAAGCCAGATTAAGCAACTTGAGTATGGTTGGGAACAAGTGGAACAGATGATTCAGAAGAAGCATTCTCGACAAGTAGTGGAATATGACGAATTTAACTTCCTTATGAAGATGATCCAGGACATTGAACTTTCTTTACAGCAACTGCAGCAATGTCTGCAGTTAAGACTGAACTCCCCAGAACAACAGGAAGGGAACCAAAGTGTGGCTACCTGGACCACTGAACTTGAGGCTATCAAGCATAGATTTTCTGCTTTAAAGGGAAGAGCTGACCTTCAGATGAAAAGGATCTGGGGAGAAAAAGAAAAGAAGACTTTAGAAGATGCCATCAATAATTTGCAGAAGCAACTGGAAGCATTGGAGCCATTAAACGTAGAGGTGGAAAATCAGTTCAAGAAGTGTGAAGTAAGGAACAAGATGAAAGAGATAATTTTATGGGTCAAGAATCTGTTGGCTGAACACATTCATTCAATTTCCCTTCTTCCGGATGACATTCTTGCACAGATCACAAAATGCAAGATGACTCAAGATGGCATTCTGGAAAAGCAGCAAGTGGTAGAGTCTTTGGGTGAAGAAATCAAAGATAATATTCCTCACCTTTCTACACATGAAACTAATGATTTAAATAACCTCCTACAGGATTTGCAGAATCAATACCAAATGCTAGTTTTAGAATCTGTGCAAAGGTCACAGCAACTAGAATTTAAACTGGAAGAAAGGAGAAAATTTTTTGCAGAAATAGAGAAGGTTCAACTTTTGCTTCAAGGAAATGAAGTATTGCTAATTCCTAAGGTGGAAACCACTCCCACAGAAGTAGAGCTAGAACATCAGCATGCCACTTTGAAGACCTCTCAGGAAGAATTGCAAGAAATTGAAAGTGTCATCTCAACATATCTTCAGGAACTAGAAGATTTCTCTAAGGATCTGAATGTATTTGAAAGATTATTTCTGGCTGATCAGTTGAAAAATCTTAACACTAGAATCAATAGAACACAAAGATTTATTCAGAATAAAAGCGATGAAGTAGAATACAAGATACATTTTTACAGAGAACTTCAGGAAAAAACATCAGGGCTTCAGAAAGAGGTTGACAGTATACAGCACAATGAACTACTCCTTAATCAAGAAATAAATCAAGATGTTAAAGAGGAGTTCTATCATCTTAAAGACCAACTTGCTGTTGTTCAGTCCAGTATCATGCAAGTATTAAAACTCAAAGAAATGTTTGATTTTCTAAGACTCAACTGGGATTTTTCTCAACTTGACCAACTACAAAACCAGGTATCTGAAAAAAAAAAGGAACTGGAAGAAAGAATTAAGCAGTTGTGCTTACTTGAAGCAGAGCAGGGCAAATATCAAATGTCTCTTAGTAAAATGCGGGCTCTGGATTCAAAACTTAAAAATGAGGCAGAAGCAGTTCTAAAACTTTTCAGTGCTTCACCAGAAAGCAGTCTGGTCAGGGTCCAAATTTTGAATCAGAAAATTGAGAAAGCCAAGTCCTTATATCATGAGACAATAAAGAAATTAAGTGAAAATCAGACCTTTGATGAATCATTCAAAGAGAAAGAAATACTGCAAATAAACCTGTTAGCAGAAGAAAATGACAAGTTACACAAAGTTCTCCAAAACATGGTACTAGAATTGCAACCAAAAGAAATAGATGAAAAGAGTTTTCAGAATAAGCTAGAAAGTTCCTTACAGGTTTTTAATCAGATCAAATCTCAGTTACAGCAGCCTTTTCTTAGCAATTTGAAAATTAAACATATTCAAAATGAAAAGGATAATTGTGAAGCATTTCAAGAACAAATTCAGGCTGAAGTTTTTAGCATTGAAACTGTGACTGTCATTGATAAACAGAGGGAAAAAGAAAGCGCTTCAGAAGTTTGTGATTTGGCGACAAAATTAAATGATTTTGAAGATCTTCAAGTGGAGCTTACCACAAGCCTTGTTTCGCGCACAGTAAGATTTTTTTATTTTTTTTTTTAAGTTAATGCAATTGCTTTTAGTTTTATGTTCTACTCTAATAGTCACACTTCAAAAGAAATTACTGGAAAATTCATGGATTAAGTGAGAATAAAAAATAAACTCAGTGCCATCAAGTAAATTTCAACTCATAGTGGCCCCGTATAGGGTGTCTGAGGCTGCTAATATGCGGGGAACAGTAAGCTTTCATCTTTCTCCCACAGAGTGGCTGGTGGGTTTCAGCTGCCGCCTTATAGTTAGCAGTCCAGCACTTAATCTACAGCACCAACAGGGCCCCTTGAGTGAAAGTAGCAATTTTCAAAATACCGCAGTGGACCAATTTGGATAGTAATTTGCTTTCATTCATTCTTCCATTACCTCCTAAAGATGTATTTTGTAATTACATTCAAGTTAGAAAATAATCCTGATTCATTCTGCATCTAAATGTTGTTGTTGTTGAGTGCCATCGAGTCAATTCTGATTTATAGTGACCCTTATAGGGTATCCTAGGTGCAGCTGGTGGGTTTGAACCACTGAGCTTGTGGTTAGGAGTCCAGTGCTTATCCTGCCTTGCCATACTAGGACTTTGTATCTATCTAAATCCTAGTACCTTATATGGAAATGAATAGGTTTGATACCTTTGTTTCTGTTCCCCTCGTATCCCCTGTTGAACTCAGAGCAAAGCTTTGAGTTTTATACTGGCAGAAGTATGGTGTAGAAGAAACACACAAATCATAACTAACACTTATTTAGTACTGAAAATGTGCTAGGCACAGTGCTATGTACTTTAATTTTCACAGCAAGTTTGAGGTGAGTACTTGTTTTTGTTGTTGTTGTTGTTGTTGTTTTGTGAGTACCTGTTTTAAAATAATGAAGTTGAAGTTCAGATAGATTAAACATGTTTCAGGGTCTTTGACTGGTAACAGACCTGGATTGAAATTGAGATCTGTCTGATTCTAGAATTATTGTTGTCAAGTGCGTTCTGGCTCATAGCCACCCTATGTAAGGTTTCCAAGAAGTGGCTGGTGGGTTTGAACTACCCACTTTGTTGTTAGCAGTCAAGTACTTGCCCTAGAGAGCCACACCAGGAATCTGATCCTACAGTTGTTGTTAAGTGCTGTCTTCAAGTTAAGGCCCCCTGACCAAATCCTGCCACAGTGCCTGATTTGTAAATAAAGTTTTATTGGAACATTCCACTCACATTCACTTTCATGCTACAGTAGCAGAGTTGAATAGTTGTGATAAAGACAGATAGCCTACAAAGCCTACAATAGCTACTCTTAACCTTTTATGGGAAAAGTGTATGGACTGCTATTGTAGAACGACACCAACATACTTTCTCCATTCCCACTGATGAGAGGGTCCACAATGCAGACATCCTTAGAGACCTTGCTATGGTTAACACAGCACCTCACACAGTGTTTTCAGAATTGCCACATTAAATCTATCCAGTGGAGAAATTAACTCCCTTCTTTAGTTCACAGTGTTACTAGGTGCTGTAGGATCAGCACTGGACTTCGAACCACAGTAGTTCAAACCCACCAGCTGCTCCTGGGAAACCCTATACAGGATCGCTATGAGTCAGAACCAACTCGATGGTACTTAACAACAACATCATTGAAATATTTTGATAGGTATAAAATGTCACAGAAATGTTAAGTCCTATTATGAACCTGAGTACATTGTTTAGCAAATGTTGGATAAATGAAATATGTCTCTGTTTAGTTTTAATACAGTTTCAAGAAACAATATATATAAATCCCCAAAATATGGTTAGAGCTGGACTGGAAGGGACTTCAAAAGACATTTGTTAGTATTTCAGTGAGGAGACTTAAGGTCTGGAGACATTAAATAATGTCTGCAAAATGACATTTAGTGGCAGAGCCATTGATTTAAAGACACAAAGGTCTGGTTTGTTATCTGTTCAATTTTTCATAAATGTTTGTTGTGGTTTATATATATTAAATGTATTCCATTGTTACATTTAATTCATAGTTTAGGACAAGAGTTTCAGAGCAGGAATATACATCATTAGACATGATTCAAGAGGTGTATTTTTGCATTCAGATTAGATTTCTTAGCAAATCTCTGAAAGGTTTTTCTTTATTCAAGCAGAAAGTTACCTAGTATTAGTGTAACCCTACTAACAGTTTGAGAACAGTATTATAAGACATCAAATCATATTACAGATGTACCAGAAAAATGATGTCCAAGAGTATCAGAAATCCCAAAAGTTGTACAATTTTATCACAGCATTTATTCTTCTATTCACCAGAATGTCTTGAATGATGCTTATGAAAATTTGACACAGTATAATGAAGCAGTTACCAGGGCAGTAGGGATTGTCACTGCCCTTGAAGCCTTCATTACGTCCCACAGAGTGGACCTTAATAATCCAGAAAGATTGCTAGAGATGCTTCATTGCAAACATGAGGAATTTGAATCTACAGTAGCAGGCATCCAGGACCTCAGTGAGAAATTGAGGATGATAGCCAGCCCCGAAGCCAAACAACAACTTCAGATTACTTTACAAGAATTAATTTCTAAGGACTCAGCCATGAGGGAGGCAGCCAAAGTGGAGAAGGCTGAAATGGAAAGGTAAGGTCTTTTCTTTAAAGGCAATTCTGTAAAGACTAGCAAAGTGTTTCTCTCTAATTAACATATGTTCATTAGAGAAAATTTGGGAGAAATAACTATATAAAGAAAAATGGTAAATTTGTTCATAGATTTCTCTTTTTCTATAGAATATTTACTGCATACAATAGAATATCTATAAAAAGTGTGTATAGTATAAAGAGTAATCAAAAGAGAGTAAACTACTGTTAAACTTCTTTCAAAAGGTCACCAAAACTCAAACCCACTGCCACTGAGTCAGTTCTAACTCATTGTGACTCATAAAGGCTGTAAATCTTCATGAAAGCAGAAAGCCTCATCTTCTCCCCATGGAGTGGCTAGTGGGTTTAAACTGCCAACCTAAATCTATTATTGTAGTTCTTTCATGTTTTCTTTTCTATGTGATATATGTCATATACAACAGAATATTTACAAAATACGCATATGATTTGTTGTTGTTGGTAAGTGCCTTCAAGTTGGTTACAACTCTTAGCAACCCTTTATAGGATTTCCCAGGAAATCCTTGGAATACTTTGTGGTTCATAGTACAGTGCTGATCCTGCAGTGCCACACTAGGAGGGTAATTAAAAGAAAGACCTGGAAAACTACTTTGACAAGATCAGTCACTGAAAACCCTGTGGTGTGGGGCATGGTTCTATTCTGAAACAACATGGACTCACCATGAGTTGGAACCAACTCAGTGGCAACTGGTAACTGTTTATAAAGAGTAATGATAAAAAGAAAACATTTTTGTATCAAAAGGATCAGTGATTACACATTCGCTTTGATTGCTTTTGTGTGCTTTTCCCTCTCCTCTCAAAAATAACTGTTTTCTTAAATTTCGTTTATCATGCCCATGCTTTTCCTGATAGTTCTACTATGTGCTTGTGTCCTGAAATAATATGTTAGTTTCCATGCTTTAAAAAGGGACTTTAAACAGTCCATAGACAATTTCCATATCTTTTGATTCCATCTGTCCATAAACTTTTTGAAACCCCCTGTTAGCATGTGCATATTCACCTGGGATTTGATTTATTCAAACACATCATTATGAGTCTTAGGTCTATTTGTGTTCTTTTCAGTACTAAAACTCATTTACTTAACATTTGGATGGTTTCCAGCTTTTGCATTCACAGTGCTAGTAAGAATGTTTTTAAATGCAAAAGCTACCCATAGGCATGTGCCTAGGAGAGTCTCTGGGTAAAAGGGTACCCACACTGTGTAATTTTAATGCCATATGATTGTACTAGTCTTCACTTAAAGCAGCAGTATATAAGTGTTCCAGCTATCTGGTATCCTTGCCAGAACTTGGTGTTGAGGGAAAAGTTTTGCCAGGCTGATGGACAACAAATAGTATCTCATGGTTTTAATTAGAATCTCATGGTTTTAATTAGAATGTCTGTTCTTCCTGAGGAGTTTGAACTCTTTTTAGATGTTTACAAATCGGACTGTGAACCACAAGGTCAGCAGTTCGAAACTACCAGCTGTTCCGCGGGAGAAAGATGAGGCTTTCTGCTCCCGTAAAGATTTACAGCCTTGGAAACCCTGTACAGGGTCGCTATGAGTCAGAACTGACTCCACGGCACATATCATCATCATCATCAACTTGTAATTTGTATTTCCTCTCTTATAAATTGACTCTCATAGCCTTTATCCAATTTTTATTGATTTGATCCATCTTTTTTCTTGTTGATTTGTGAGAATTGTGAATTTTTAAGAATAATAATATTGCAAATAACTATGATTATTCGTAAGAATTATACTTGTGAGGTACCCATCCGGGTGGGCACCAGGTTTTATTCTCTTTTACTGTCCAGGAGTTGGTCAAAGAAACAGAAACTTGTCAGATACCCTAAAGATTATAATCTGGCCCTAGGGCTTTGCTTGTTGTTGATGTTGTTAAAGTGCCATCGAGTTGGTTCCAACTCTTAGTGAGCTACTGAGTATAGGGTTTCCGAGCTTGTAAATCTTTACGGGAACAGAAAGCCTCATCTTTTTTCCACTGAGTGGCTGGTGGGCTTGAACCACTGACCTTGTAGTTAGCAGTCCACTACTTATCCTACAGAGCCGTTATGCTCCCAGGACTTAATGTCTCTGTATTGGTGCTGCATGTTAATGCGCTGGACTACAAGGTCGGTTTGAACTGCAAGGTCATGGTTCAGGCTTACCAGCCACTTCTTGGAAACCCCATACAGGGTCGCTGTGAGTTGGCACTGACTCAACAGCACTTTACAACAACAAAACACTTTAACATACCTTGGATTTCTGAATATTGTTTAATTCTTTGGCAGTATATTTGTATGTTCTAATAGTTTATTGGACTTCTAGTATGGCGCTGTAGGATCAGTACTGGACTGTGTGAACCACAGATTGGAAGTTCAAACCCACCAGCTGCTCCTTGGAAACCCTATATAGGATCACTGTGAGTTGGAAACGACTCAGCAATGATAGTTTTTTAGACTCCTGGTGTGGTGCTGTAGGATAAGCACTGAATTGAAAACCACAAGGCTGGTGGTTCAAACCCACCAGCTACTTCTCGGAAATCCTAAACAGAGTCACTATGATTCGGAACCAACTCAACGGCAGTTAACAACAACAAAAATAGTTTTTAACAAACAATGTATTTGTTTGGTAGTTTTGAGTTGTTTTCAGGAGAAATTTAGGCTATTTTGTATTTTATGCATAATGTTTTTTTTTAAATGTATCAAACATCAAGTTATATATGAATTGTACTGCTTTTTAAAAAAATATGTAACATGAGCTCTTTTTTGGTAACAAATACTTCATAAAAGTAACTGTAATTGCTATGCAATAGTCTATGAAATGGATTGTTGTAATTTGTTTAACCCTACTTGTTTTTAAACATGTTCTTGTTGTTTAGTGCCATAGAGTCAGTTCTGACTCATAGCGACACTGCATAGGGTTTCCAAGGAGCGGCTGGTGAGCTTGAACCACCAACCTTGCAGTTCAAACCCACCTTGCAGTCCAGGTCATTAACCCACAGCGCCACACCAGGACTCCATCTTTAGACATAAAGGTGTCTATTTTCCCTATTTTAATGTGGCACTGTAAGATAAAGCATTGGACTGCAAGGCCAACTGGAACCACAAAGTCAACATTTCAAGCTCACCAGCTGCTCCTCAGAAACTGTATACAGGGTTGCTGTAAGTCGAAACGGACTCTATGGTACTTAACAACAACAAGAAAAGTTATTTCACTGTACAAAATTATTTGTTTTTTGTTTTTTCATGTTCAGAATAAATTCCTTATGTTTAGGAGTAATTCCTTAAGATAAATTGTAGAAGTTGAATTCATGGGTCAGGAGATAAGATAATTTATAAGACTAAATGACTTTATATAAAAATTGTACTAGGTTACACCCTAGTAACACCATTTGGAGTCCTGGTGTGGCACAGGTCAGTTGAAACTCAAGGTGGGCCGTTTAAGCTCACCAGCTGCTCCTTGGAAAACTCTGTACAAGGTTGCTATGAGTCAGAACCAACTCTATCTCCTTTAACAACAAACAGCAGTGTTTAAGATGCAATTTTCATTTTACTAAAGTGAATTTTTTTTTCCCAAGTCACTTACAACTTAAGTATTTTCAGGAATCGCTTACTTGTCTGGTAAAAGTTGCATTTATAGCCTTTTTTGAAGAGGTAGTCAATAAAAAATTGTTGAAATGAATAACAAACCAGAATCATCATTTTCCTTTTATGTAAGTATGTGCAATTCATTCTGGGAAGTGTAGCATTTATCACACCAAGTTAAACTTAATATCTTTTATTTTTTTTAACTGTGCCTCATTAGGTGTCTTGAGAATTACAGATGCTATAGAAAACTTAAACTGAAAATTTGCACTGACTTAAGCAAAATGGGGAAAGATCTTGGGGAGTTCATGTCCCAGTTACCAGTGTCTTACAAAGAAGCTCTTGAGCGCTTGGAACAGAGCAAGGTACAGTGTTCCCAAGTCTACTATACTTCTTTGTGAAACATAGAATATGTAGGTGAAGACACTGGAGAATATGGCTCTGTGATGACCCAAAGGAATCTTTCATTCCTCAAACTAAAAGCCAAGGAACAATATGAATCAAGTTCTGAGAGACTGAATGAACTGAGTTCACAGGACAGTCCTCTTTTTAACCAGCATGCATTGTCTGTATTATTTGCTCTTTTTAAAGCTTTCCATGACATTTCACTTTGTTGGCTACTGATGAATCAGACATACCTAGTTGTTATCTTGGATTCTACATTCTACTTACTCTTCACACTCTATTACTAAGCAATTTCATTTTTTAGTAAATTTAGTAAATACCATCTGTGGCATTAGGATCTGAATTGTGGACATTCTAAATCATCTGTGTTTAAGGTTCATCAAAAATAAAACAGATAAAAAATCAACAACAACAAAACCCAAATATTGCCTTGGTTGATTATAAAGATTGATAAAATTTGAGACTTAAATAAGATAACAAAATGTGTTTCAACATGTGTTGAAAAATTTTAAAAGAAATTCATACTAGGAATTCATGGGCCATTCTGTAATTGTATGTCATCTGGCACATTTGACAGATATACTTCCAGAAGAACTTAAATCGATCATGTAACACTATGGAATATTCTAACTCACAAATTCCTCAAGATTTAAAAATCATTTATCCATTTCAGAATAATTAAGACTAGATTTTATGCCATCCCTGTTCCTTTTATTTCCTTTCTTTAGGCTTTGGCATCAAATCTCCTTTCAACTAAAGAAGACTTAATGAAACTACGGCAGGTCCTCAGACACTTAAGACCCACGTGCACAAAAAATGATGGCATGGGTTTGCTCAGAACTGTGTCTACCCTGTGGGAGAAATGGTTGCATTTGCTGGAAGATGCTAAGGATTGGGAGATGTGGTGTGAAGCACTAAAGCAGAAATGGAAATTTGTCAGTGAAGAAGTGAGTGCTTCATATTTCACAGTCAAATCTTTAGTTTCCAAATGCTATTTATTTTGTTTTTGTATTTTTTAATGAGTCTTCAGCCTGTACTCTATGTTTACATCACATGTATATTGTTGTTGTTAAGTGCTGTCGAGTCAGTTCCAACCCATAGCAACCTTGTTTAGGGTTTCCAAGAAGCAGTTGGTGAGCTTGAACTGCCGACCTTGCAGTTCAAATGGCTTTGCTGTCTGATGCACTAACCCACAGAGCCACACCAGGACTCCTCACATGTATATCACACAAGTGTTTATACAAGTCACGTCCTATTAAAGTAATCTCCAAAAAATGATTTGAAGCATTTAATAATTATGGCCATTTTTTAGTATCAGATATTCTTATAAACAAATGACTTCTTATTCAAACCTTAAAGTGTTTCATATGCAGGTAAATTGAACCCTCTTAAAAGTAGCTCTGTATTAAACTAAAGGGGATAATTCACTGATATTCATAATGGCCATCTAGTATTGAAATTGACTATAATTTTTAACTATGGAAATCAACTACAATTGTTAAGTATGAACCTAAAAATAGCAGAAATGATGGTCTCAAAGAAAACCTCCACAATGTACATGTGTCAATCACAGGTGTTTATTTAACCATGGATCCGAACTTAGGTATCATATATATTTAGAAAGAAAATTTAAGATAATATAAAATCATCTTAGGGCCACGTACATGTGAAATACAAATAATCTATTTTCTTTCATATTCGTTTCAAAATTCTTCTGAATATACGTAAGAGACTCTGCTTACTATAATTATTCATATTCAGTAGTTGAGACACATCATTTTAAGCTTTGATGATTATAATGTGTTAGAATAAAGTCATCATTCTAGATTGCTTGAATGTGTAAGGCTGGCTGCTACTTGTACAATCTGCTCCACTAGTTATTTTATTATTAGTTCCTATTCTTGTAGGCTCTGGTAGCGTAGTGGTTATGAATCGGGCTGTGAACCTTAAGGTCAGCGGTTCGAAACTACCAGCCGCTCCGCGGGAGAAAGATGAGGCTTTCTACTCCCGTAAAGATTTACACCCTCGGAAACCCTGTATAGGGTCGCTATGGGTCGGAACCGACTCGATGGCACTTAACAACAACAACAACAACAATTCCTGTAGACTACACGGTTTTTTAGACTCCTTCTCTGTGTTTGCTTGCTACAACTATAATTCCTTCTCCCTTTCTAGACTGTACTTTATAACTGACTGTGAACCGAAAAATTTTATAACCGATTTTATTAGAATTCTGTGTTCAAGGAATTTTATCAAGTGGCTGCAGAGCATCTTGTGGGTGGAATCCTAGGTGCATCATTTTTGCAGCAGCTAATTTACTGCCTTGGACAAGGCCGATTTAGCCGGGATTTTCCTCAGGCAGTAAAGCCATTCCTCAGAAACCCTATACAAGGTTGCTATGAGTCAGAACCACCTGGACGGCACTTAACAACAACAATGTGGAGTGGAGGGTGTGGGCAGTTTGATGGAGCTCATTCTAACTCCCTATGGGTGGTGGTGGTTGTGTGCTGTTGAGAGGTTCCAACTCATAGTAACCCTGTGTATATATGTGGCAGCAGAAAACCTCATCTTTTATCCATGGAGCAGCTGGTGGGTTTGAACTGCTAACCTTGTGGTTAGCAGCCCAACCTGTAACCCACTACACTGCCAGGGCTCCAACTCCTTGTGGCTATCTCAAGAGAGATATTGTTTCCTCCAACTGAAATTTGAAGAAGAAATACATTTCATTACTTTATGGATATGTTCAACACCAATGCATTTTATTCATGTGATCAGTAATTGGGAACTATGGGATTCTGATTATAGTGGACTGTTCCCAACTATAGAAAAACATGTTGTATTGTACTAGGAAACAACACTCGGAATCCTTTGGAGAGCCAGTATAAAAAATAGGGACAAGGTGTTGCTTTAGGTCCTAAAATAATAAGAGTTTATTTTACTTAATTTTGTTCTCTTTTTGTTTATTGAATTAGATTGAACGAGAAGCAATTATTTTAGATCATCTCCAAGAAGAACTACCTGAACTTTCTAAAACAAAAGAGGCAGCCACCACAGAGGAACTCTCTGAGTTGCTTGCTTGTTTATGCCAATTTGAAGAAAATGTGGAGAAACAGCAACTGTTACTGACCCTATTTTCTCAGCGTATGAAAAGCATCCAGAACATTCCTAATGATATGGGTGCAATGGAAACAATTCCAGCATTTCAAGAGATTGTGTCCATGCAAGAACGGTGTATCAAGTAAGAATCAGTTATGAAAACTGCCGAGAGCCTGTCCCGGCATATTTATTTCAGGGTTTTTCCGAAGGCGGGTGTGGACGGCGGTAAGGATTACGCGGAGTCATGGATCATGATAAATTCAAAATCTTCTTATTACATGCTTTATTATTATTATTTCTATGGTTGCTCTAATACTCTACTTCTCTCATTCTTTACTGTCCTGCTCATTCTTTACTCCCCTGCTCTCCTGCTCATTTCTTCTGTTTTCCTTTCTCCCCTCCCCTGCTCCTGCTTCCATTCTCTCCTCTCCTGCTCCCCTCCTGCTCCCCTCTTCTGCTCCCTTTACTAGCTTCCCCTCCCTCCATTCTTGTCTCGTTCTATTTTCCTCTACTTACTCTTACCTCTACTTCTTGCCTCTAATTCTTCTTCCACCCATTCTTCTATTTCCCATCTTCCCTTCTTGCCCTTCATCCCTTCTACTTCTTCCTTCTCTTCATTCTTCTTCACCTCCTGTTCCTTTCTTTGTTCTATCTTACAACCCCCTTATATACCATTACAGAAAACATTGCTTTCATAGTAATCAATGACATCAAGGTACAATCTATCTTGGGGCACATTCCTTATGGTTTACAATTCTTAAATTTACAACAGGGATGAGAAGTTACAGCAAAAACATTATCTCAAGGCATAG